ATGTTATGCTGGGTAAGATGGAGGGTCAGAGAAAAAGAAGAAGACCCCCAACGAGATGGATCAGCCAGGTGACATCATTGATGGCATCAAGTGTGGCTGTGGTAGTGAGGTTGGCCCAGGATCGGACATTGTTTCGTTCTGCTGTACAGTCGGTTCCGACTCGATGGCACCTGACAACAACAACAATGGAGCAATTCAAAACTACCAGCTGTTCCACGGGAGAAAGATAAGGCTTTCTGCTCCAGTAAAGATTTACAGCCTTGGAAACCCCGTATAGGGTCGCTGTGGGTGGGAATCGACTCCACGGCACATAACAACAATAATGGAGTACTGGTGTGGTGCTGTGGGTTAATGCGCCAGACTGCAAAGCCGTTTGCACTGCAAGGTCAGCGTTTCAAGCTTACCAGCTGCTCCTTGGAAAACCTATACAGGGTCGCTATGCATTGGAATCGACTCGATGGCAGTTGACAACAACAACAATGGAGTCCTGGTGTGAATTTGTGGGTTAATGCGCCAGACTACAAAACTGCTTGAACTGCAAGGATGGCAGTTCAAGCTCACCAGCTGCTCCTTTGAAACCCTATACAGGGTCGCTATGGGTCAGAACTGACTCAGTAGCACTTCACAATGACTAATGATCAAGAGCATTTCTTCATGTGTTTGTTGGGCGTCTGAATGTCTTCTTTGGTGGTCTCTTTATGTCCTTTGCCTGCTATTTAATTGGGTTGTTTGTGTTTTTGCTGTTGAGGTGTTGAAGCTTTCTATAAACTTTAGAGATTAGTTCCTTGTCAGATATGTTATAGCCCAATTTTTTTTCTCAGCCTGTAATTTTCTTTTTACTTTTTTGGAGAAGTCTTTGGATGAACATATGTATTTAATTTTTAGTATGTCCCAGTTGTCTGGTTTATTTTCTGCTGTTTGTGTATTTTCAATTATGTTTGATGGGTTATCTATGCAATAAATTAGGACCCCTAAATTTGACCCTAGTTTTTCTTCCATGATCTTTATAGTTTTAGGTTTTACATTTAGGTCTTGATCCTCTAGTGTTAGTTTTTGTATATGGTGTGAGGTATGGATCCTGTTTCATTTTTTTTGCAAATGGTATCTAGTTTTGCAAGCTCCATTTATAAAAGCTACTGTCTCTTCACCATTTAATGGATTCAGACCCTTTGTCAAAAATCTGCTGTCCTCCTTTTTCTGTTCTCCTTTTGGCTGGAAGTTTAGATGTTTATTTTTGCAGTAGGATGTGTGATCACAGTGACTGTTCCTCAGAATAGTCTGCTACTAGAGTAGCATCATGTCATGTTTGCAGCATATATATAGATATATATATGTGTCAGTTTCTCCCATAATAGTATGAATTCTTTGAGATCAAAGTATAAAAGATTAGTTAAAAACCCTAGGGCTTTAGAATCAGATGGATCCAAACTCACTGTAACTTTGCCATTAACAGTCCATATGATAATGCCACATAAGTACTGGACTGCTAACTGCAAGGTTAGCTGTTCAAACCCACCAGTCATTCCATGGGAGAAATATGAGGCTTTCTGCTCCTTTAAAGATTTACAGCCTCGGAACCCTAATACAGAGTCACTGTGAGTCCAAATCAACTTGATGGCAGTGGGTTTGGGTTTGAGTTTTTCATATATAAATCACTTAAACTTTATATTTCCATTTCCTTATCTGCACAATGCGGTTGATACTAATACCTTCATGAGATTACAGTGCACATTTTAAAAAGAGACAACATAAGATATTTTGCACAGTGCCTCATTTAGCAAGTGCTCAGTAAATGTTCCCAGCAATTTACAAGCCCAATCCAAAACTGGTCTTCCCTGTAGGTGCATGGATATTATCCTATCACAGACAGTATTGTACCTCATGACTGATCTTGATATATTCTTTTTGATGAAGAATGCAATACCATTCCTTTTCAATTTGTCATTCCCAGCATAGTAAACCATGTGGTTGTCAGATTCAAAATGACCAATACCAGTCCATTTCAGCTCACGAATGCCTAAGATATCGATGTTCATGTGTGTTCCATTTCATTTTTGACAATTTCCAATTTTCCTAGATTCATACTTCGTACATTCCATGTTCTGATTTTCAATGGATGTATACAGCTGTTTCTCTTCATTTTGAGTTGTGCACCATCAGCAAATGAAGGTCCCGAGGGCTTTACTACATTCATGTCATCACGGTCAACTGTACTTTGAGGAGGCAGTCACATTTTGAGTACCTTCCAACCTGAGGGGCTCATTTTCTGGCACTATACCTGACAGTGTTTCTCTGCTATTCATAAGGTTTTCAGTGACTAAGT